TTCGATGAGGTAAAAGGTGGAAGAGAAGAAGAAGAACTTATATCATTTGCCCACCTTCACGTTGGTCAGCCCCTGCCCCTCCTTGGTACCATGCCTTCTGCTATTATATTTTCCAATCCGCCATGGCATTTGATATGACCAAAATATTTCAGCTTCCAAGACAAGATGCTGTTTATTAGCCAATCTTCCTTGATCTTCAGATTTTTAAAACTTTTTTTTACATCAATAGTGCATCAGGCACATACTGTCAGACTTATATTTTTTTGTACAGACAGATCAGAATTTGGTGGTCTATGTGGTCATTTTTTTTTCCAAGTATCCAGAAACCATGAGTTGTTAACCTTTTGGCTCAGTACTGTGGATATCGCAACCCTTGGGCCTTGATTCCATGATAAGATACCGTAAATCTGGAAGAAATGTGGCTTTTCTGCCTACCCCCCAGGGCATACATCCGGACCACAAGGAGTTCGTCACCAGGTCGCTGCAGAATCAGGTTTAACCAACTGCGCTAGCCTACTGGGCATCCCACTGGTCAATTCATAGTTCTAATAACCATCTACTGATGAGTCAGCATAAAACCTCAAGGTGACTGATAGGTACGGCCATAATCTAAATAAACAGTGACAAAGTAAAAAGACTTTTCCCAAAGCTGGCGCATCAGGCCCATTAGGTACATAATTAATGATGTGGTCAACATCAAAACTACTACCTTTACTTCCCTTAACTATTCCTGATACCTATTTCAGAATGAGGATATCAATTAAGGGGGTCTTCATAGGTTGCATAACGATCACAAGAAATAACATGAAATCTGTACATTGTCTAGGTTTAAAAAAATAATATTTTTATCAGCTGCTGAATTTCAGCATTTGTTTCTATACTTTCATGCAGGAAGTAGCTAGAGTAGATAAATCAATCTATACCATTTAATCAACAGTCTAAAATACAGGAAATCTTGTCATTTTTCTTTAACCAGTTTTTTTTGTTTTTTTTTTGTTGGGTTTATGTCTTTTTTTTTTTTTAGTAATGTTTTTTATGAATACATCAAAAATTGTCCAAAGTTAATCAAAATATGTTCCTGCTTAGAAATGATGTTCATACATGAGTGAGGAACTGTTCAATTTAATTGTATTAGCTCTGTCCAGTTTCTCCATAACTAACAAATGTAATAATATGCTTAAATTACTAAAGAAGTGGCCATCTAACAATCAGATGAGACATTTTAATATGACCAACAAAAACATGTAGCAAAGCATTTCCATCCAAACAAGTAACCCTCATCTATGATCTGGCAAAATTGCAATATTGCCCAATCACTAAGTAACCTGCCATTTTGTTTAGCTAGTGAGAGGTGTGTGGTTACATATGCAGCAAGGAGCAAAGAACGAACATCAAATTATGTTTTAAACTTAGAAAAAGTGCTACTGAGGCAGTTGAACTGATGAGACAAGTTTCTGGATGGTGCAGTTGTTACTCTGCAACTATTTACAAGTGAATGCTATCATTCTACCATTCACAGTAAACAGGGGAATCATTCTTAAACTACTATCTGTTAATATAATACTCTCACTGCTAAATTACCATAAAACATTCATTCTTAAACTACCACATGTTAATATATATTCAGTCTTCAACTACTGTCTGTTAAAATACATTCACTGATAATCAACAATGTGTTAAGATCCATTCATTATTAGAATAATCCAGAGTCTAAGCAACATAAACACTGATGACTTGTATACTAAACAGGCATATTATAATGCAACTAATTCCCATGTATTGATCAGCACTCACAAAAGATACATAAAAAAGCAGAAATCATAAGACACACTACTGTTCATATGAACATCTTATTACAACTGTGTGAATGCCTCTCCAGCAATACACATTCTTCAGTATTGTAAGCCCTTGATATCCACTGTTGCAGATATTACCCATCTCCATTCCTTTCTGTGATGGCATTCTTTCCAGTTGGTGATTTAAAAAGCATTTGTAGGAATGCCTGTATATTAACTCTGTTATTTTTCATATTACAGTATAAAATATCTGAAAAAAAACAGGGCATTTAACAATCAAACCTATGGCTTTGTTACAAACAGATGTAAGGTTCATAAGCAAATGTGACAGAATTATACAAAGTAACCGTCAGGAATTTCCAAACAATCTTAAACCTGAGGTCATCAGAAGGAGATAATGTAGACATTAAGACAAGCGTCAATCTGCCTGGGGAGACAGCAGATACCAACTGTAAAAAATGATGGAGTTTGAACACCGGACCAACATGATGGCACACGGGTAGTAACCCATAAGTGCTCCATTCTTCTTCTAACTCAAGTCCTAATAAGCTCAGCACAGTGCACAGGTTCTGTAACACCGGCGAAGACCCTGAAATACTTTGGGTCGATTTTTAACTCCAAATTTTGCCCGGGCATCGCCACTAGGCTATTCTTTTCGATTTCCAACTGCCAAGGGATTTTTTTACCAGCCCAACAATACACACGGGCATCCGATCTCACTACCCAGAGACTAGAAGTCCAAGTCCACATTAAAAAATCCTAGGCCTTACCAGGGATTGAACCCAAAACCTCTAGCACTCGAGGCAGACACCATGCCTCGAGACCACGCAGCCCCTGATAAAAGGATGGAGTTTTAACCACTTACTGCATAATAGAGTGGATGGTCATGTTTTATGTTGCAGACTGCAGCAGGCGATGAATGATAGTGCCACCACCTTGAGCAACACAACAAAACAGTCAGCATTCAATAGACAAATCATGGATTACAAAATGACAAATGTGACATCAGATTTGGTTGTCATATTCATTTGTTAAAATTACTAAAAGGATTGTTCATATTACATTATGTTACATTATGTTATCTGATGCAGTGAATCTAAATGTGGCTGCAACCATAAAAGGGATTACTAAGTATCTTCTTGTGTTTCACTGGAGTAATATTTATTTAAACCTAATCTTAATATTTATATGTAAAACTGCTTGTCCATTGTCAGTTGTATGTTACTTTTTTTATTTATACAAAATAAAAAAAATGTTTAAAAAAAAAGGAAAAAGGGGGTAGTTGTGCACTGAAACTTTAGACTGAAACAACCTCAAAGCCTAGGTCAATTTTTAAAACTGTTACGACACACATTAAAATCTGTGACCAACTCGCCAGCTGCTCTCATTCACAAGGTAAGCATGTCATGTGTACAACATATGTTCACACTGTCAACATGGCAAATGTACACACTGTCAATGTCCAATAAGTATAACATATATGTATACTGCCGTCATGTGCCTTTTACAACACAACTGACACTCAAAACGTATCATATAGACAGCACATGTTCACATAATCAACAGGCCAAAAGTTAGAAACTCTTATGACGTCGATATAAAATAAGTACCATACATTTATATGTTGCCAAAAAACCATAGCTACAACACATCTGACACTGATAACATACCATATTGGCAGAAAATTGTCACCATGCCAAAATGACGTAAGCACAACATATACGCTTTCTGCTAAGTGCAGTAGTCACCCACACATTCACACCATCAATATGCCATATGTACATGAGATACTCAACACTCCTAACATGAACGTACATTCCCAAAGTACATTTACCGGCAGTGACAAGACAAGCATAAATGTGACGCTTTTATAAAAATCAACACATCAATTACCGGGGAACAAAGTGAAAAGATAACATTGGTGCAACTCCACAACATTGTCAAGTTTCTTTAGTCAAGGCAGCCAGAGAGGTGAGAACCAGATCCATCTATCACCCTCAACATATGATGCAGTTCAAGACAATGTGAAAAAGAAAAACTACTGGGGGGAAAAAACAAACTTTAGAAGAATTTACAGTTCACACTTTTTGGAGCAGTACCAATAATTTGAAATGAAATGTGTCCGATTAAAAATAAACAATAAAAGTGTAGTTAAAGGATATGGCTTTTTTTAAAAACTCTTTCGTACTAAGTATAACGCCATGTGTACCTTGGCTATTCTTCAGTGCACCTTGGCTATTCTTTAGTGCACCTTGGCTATTCTTCAGTGCACCTTGGCTATTCTTCAGTGCACCTTAGCTAATCTTCAGTGCATCTCATCTATTCTTCAGTGCACCTCAGCTATTCTTCAGTGCACCTTGGCTATTCTTCAGTGCATCTTGGCTATTCTTCAGTGCACCTTGGCTATTCTTCAGTGCACCTTGGCTATTCTTCAGTGCACCTATCAAAACATCATGTATAGTTACTTCTTAAAATTAGCCAGTATATACTACACAAATCTGAAAATGTATCTGTACTATAAATTTTTGAGTACAATGCACTGAAACTTTTTTGTAAAACTCTATTCTTATCTTTAGGTTATGGTACTATATAATTAGAGTATTTTTCCATTTTTCCTAATTAGCTAATTTTAAGCTTTAACCAAAGAAGTCAGTCTGAAAAAAAGCCCTCTAACATGGAAGATTAAAATAACATAAATTATAAGGTCTATTTTGATCTGTACGATTTTTATTTTTCAAATTCTGCCTCTGGGATTTCAGCCCGAAATACTCACAATACAGTGACTCAAGGAGGAATCAATATTCAACAGGAGCTAATCCAAGAAACTTTGTTCAACCATCTTAAAATTGGTACTAGGGCCTGTACTTTGGTACACATTATACACATGATTTACTGGCATATATTTGGCCAACATTTTTGCTGTTATTATAATATCATTACTACTGCCTCTGCTGCACAGCTCTCTCCTAGGATTTCTACAATTGAAGAGTTCATGATTTTTCTCTCTGCATGAGATTTGATGTTGTTATTGAGTTATGACATTTAATAAATCAAAATTTCTTGCTTATTTTGTGTCATGGATGTTTTCTGCATAAAGTTCATCAGACAAATTTACAAATACTTGAATTCAGAAATTTGCTCATTTCAAATATGCATATACTTCAGTGTTTAATTCTATACATCAACAAGCCATTTCCGGTATGTTTACACCAATCCTGCATCTCTGGCCATGCCGTAGAACACTGAACTGGGATTTTGTAACAAATTCTGGGGAGAATCGAACTCTTTGATCTTCCCATTATCAAGCACCATGATTCTGTAACAGAACATAAGCAATCGTTGGTAATTAAAAGTGCAATAAATTTATTAAATATGATCCTATTTGGAAAAATAGTATTATGATACAGTAGAAGCTCATTTACCTGTCCCAAATAACTTTTAGACCAACACATCTGATTTCAGCAAACCTCTATTTACTTGCCTTTTATGACATGCTTGCTGGGGGGAGGGGGATGTAATGGGTATTACCACCTCCCCCTCCTCCAACCTGCCCACCCCCTAAGGGGAATGGGCAGACTCTCAATAAAGTCACTCTCTGCCATTCTGGGCAGCTTACATGAGGTTAAGGACATGGAAAGAACTACAGTCATCAATTACTAGACATGCAATGAGAAGTAAACTGAAAACAACTTTGTGTCCACTGGCAAGCCTCTGGGAGCAAGACGAATGTAAAGACCTGGACTGCTGGACCACAAGGCATAATCAGGATAAGAACAGACCACTGATCATGGGAGTCATCCACATATATAACCGCAATAACTGATGATAATGATTTGATCAAGCGCTTGAGTTTCTGAGAGTTCCAGCAGATGACAAGCGTGTTTGGAGGATCTGTTACTTACGCACACCAGAGCCTATCCAGCAGTCCCAATATCCACAACCAGACCGCTCTACGACTAAGAATGTATAGAATCATTGGGAAACTTTATTTTATTCCCACCAATATGACATGCCTAACCAGCTTTTATTACAGGAAGACAACCATAAGACAATTATCGTCACAGGCAAACTTTTTTCACAATTTTTGATCTATCCAAACCCAAAAACTGTTTTCAGTACTTTTTGGCAAAATAAAATATTCATAATTTCAAAACTTTATATGGTGGTCCAAAAGGACATTATGTTGAGAAGCTCGCTCTCCTACAAGACATGCCTGGCCAAATTAGAAGGAGCCTGAACCAAAAGGAAAAAACCAGAAATGAAAGAGCAGGAAGAACACATTTGACAAGAGGAAAATGAATGACCGGTCTGACTTGCAGGAAAGAAGGACTAAGCTCAGAGCTTTAGCCAAAAAAGTGGTGCAAATAAACCAGACCAAAAGTATAACTGGACATATTGGCAGCTTCAGCTGGCTAACAGCAGGTTAATTATAGTTGTGTTTTTAAATTGTTTTCTAGAATGACTAGGACCAATAATGATTAGACACTAAGAAATAAACAGTGTTTGTGTGTATGTATACATAGAGTGCTAGGGATGCACCCTTGATGATGAGAATGTGGCAGTCTGAACATGTTTTTCATTCAAAGGCTGAAAGCATACTTAAAAGATCCCTTCTGTCCATCAGGTACCATCTTTTGAACTCTAGCCATATTGCAACCAAGAATGATGTGTTTAAAATTATGTATACACCAACCAATCAGTCTTAAACCCATGTTGAAGCTGCCACGATAAATCATTTCAATCCAGAAGTGTGCAAACAAAAAGACATGGATGATACCTGCATTTAACTTGGTAAAGTAGACAATTAGTTTCGAGTGTTGATTGTGTATATCACTTGAACAATTTATTTATTTGCTTCATTTTATTCAACTGTTACTGTAGTTTGCACAAGACAAGGTACAGAAAAATATGCCAGTCAATAAACTGTGCAATCTATTGCTTGTGTCTTTCTTTGTTGAAATATTTTAAAGCTATTTAAAGTAGGGCTGTGCCGAATATTCGCTTCATATTCGCTTTGGGGCCGAATAGTGGACCTATTAACTATTCGGTATTCGGCTGAATAGTTGCGGTCGGGCCGAATACGAATAGTAGTTACCTTACACCCGCTTCTGCATACACGACCTTAATGCTGACAACATGGAACGATTGGTTTTGTTGAAAGCTAATGCTGCTGTCCTCCATTAACTAAGCTGTCAGTGACAATTTCCAAGTTTAGTTACTTGTTATAATACTTAGGATTCTTTTCTTCCTAGTTATTAGTTACCACAGACTGACTGAAGGATGAAAAACATAAACTATTTTTAAGTGTTTACTATTCTGTACAAATACTAACTAGACATGGAAAGAATATAAACTCTGGCCACATCCAAGTCGATAATATGAAAATCAAACGAACGGAAACATATAAGTAATTGGGTGCAAACTTCCACTGCTCCAACATGCAATCTAGAAAAAAAGTATACTATGCTCTTCAACATTTGCTAAAGTCAAAGTGTCTGTCTCGCAACACCAAGATCAAAATCTATAAAACGTTGATAAGACCAGTCATTTAATATGGCTCTGGAACTTGAAGTAGAAATAAAAGAGATGAGGCCTTATTACAGGTTTTCGACAACAGTCTTACGACAAATCTTTGGACCCATCAAAGATGCTAACAGTGGGGAATGGAGAGTGACAAGCAACAACGTAACACATAATCTGTTTAAATCACCATTTATCACTGGCATCATGAGAGCTAAAATGGTTGGGGCATATTGAAAGAATGTCAGATGACAGAGAAGTAAAAACTGTATACACCTGAGAGAGGAATGGGCGTAGACCACGAGGCAGACAAAAAAGAAGTTCGAGAGATAATGTCCAGTCAGACCTGCAAACAACTGGTGTCACAAATTGTGAAGAGAAGGCCACACAGAGAGATGAATGGAGACAAGTGATATCTGCAGCAGAAAACCTCAAGGGCTCAGAATGCTAAAGAAGAAGATGACTATTCTGTGCTACTTTATGTGAAGTAAAAGTTCAGCATACATTTGACATAATAAATGTTTTTGTTTTTTTGTTGTTTTAGATATATTTTATACACTATTTATATTGGGCCGAATAGTTGGTCCCGCTATTCGTATTCGGCCAAATAGTGAAAATCACTATTCGGTACAGCCCTAGTTCAAAGGTCACATAGTGGATTCAATGCACTGGCTTTCATTTCATAAACCGTCTTGTCAGGGTTCGCCCTGCTATGGGACAGTTCAGGATGATGATGATGAATCTCGTCATCGTACCCTGCGACCCTTAGTGACACTCAGTACGTGCATACACACGTAGAAACGAGCATGAGCGGACTTCGCACGGGTGTGCACATTTTGGACCGGACGCTGAACGCTTGCTTGGGGGACTGCTAGGAGACTGGACGTGGGACGAGAGTGGAGATTTTACTGACCGTTTGTTTTTGACTTGAAGATAGGTACCAGTGTAGTGATTAGCTGTAACGTGTTCTGTTCATAGTTTCATGTAAAGTAGTAGTTGTAACTAGAAGCCAGACCATGCTTTGCTGGTGGCGTTAACACTGTCGACGCACTTAGGCCTACACATTGGCGTATGCCATAAAGTCTTTGGCATCGAGATATAGCGGGTTGAGCTGGCACTGTACGGGAGAGTGGTAGCGGCTCAGAGCTTATTTCATGAACGTGTAAAGGCGCCTCTAAGCGATTTTAAAGTTAGACGCGGCCTGGGTTTTGAATAAGGAGCGCTACTCCTCCTGAAGTGTACCACCACTTCGTTTGCATCTTTGGTAATAAAGATTGTGTGTGTGTTGCAACAAGTATTTGGCTTGAGAGTGTTTGTACGGTGTTTTCCTGTCATTAGCCTATAGCAGAGCCAATGGAATCGAGCCCTAGACAGTAAGGTTTCTGACAGGAAAGTGGGTGCTCGTCCTTGGGAGTTGAACCTAAATCTGACAGGAAAGTGGGGAGCTCTTACCGTGGATTTTGTGTGAACCCAACGTGCTTAGTCAATAGCTGATAGGAAAGGTTAGGTATTTGTTTTTCCGTAAATATTTTTGATAGGTAAAATGGAAATTTATTGTTAGTCTGTCTACATGTTTGTTGTTTAACATGACTGTATGTGATTAGAGGTAATAACTGTATGTGTTAGGATTGTGTCGTGACGACGGATAGGGATTTAGGACGACATAGACAGATAGACATAGTGTGAATGTTTTACAAGTTGCGGTGTGCAAGTCCAAGAAGTCATCGAGGCCTGTCGTCCTCGCCATCATCAAGTGTGTCATCAACATCCACGTGTTCTTTGGCGGCCATGTTTCCCAGACTGGAGTGCAGATAAGTTTTTGTTGTTTTGATTTTGGTGTTTGTGTCCTGGTCAGTTCTCCAGTCCATGAGATTCCATTTCGATCTAGTTGGTTGATCGGCGCCGTGCATCATCTATCATTCTTGTCTAACTTTTCTCATCAGTCCTACTGTTGTCTTTGTGTATTGTGGAAAAAAAGATTTTTTTTTTTGCGGCACACACATCAGTCATTCTCCATCATCTACAATTGTAAGAAGTATTCTTCGGATTCCTGGTCCAATATTTTTCTAACTGTCTACATCCAAATTGTTTTACAATTGTTGTCGTATTACTGTGATGATGAGATTTGTGATATTCTTTATTGAATATTACAGTGTAAATTTGTGTTTATTTCTCGGATTAATTCGAGATTACATTTATAGGTCCGGCTGTAGTTCGATATTCGCGTTTTTTATTTTCTCCCTTCCCAATAGATATAGTGCGGGTAGTTCGTGATCTTATTTATGTACGTTATTTTGTTTTGGTTTGATTGTATTGATTTGATTGTTTACTTACAACTGTTTCATTGTTCAATATGCCAAGAAGGTACATAGAAAAGGGTCCACTAGTTACATGTGTCCACTGTAAAAGGGAACATGGTAGATGGCAATGGTGTGATGAAAATCCTGAATTCGCACATGTTCAAAAGATAATAAAGAGAAAAACTCAAAATTTGAAAAAGAGAAGATCTGAAAGAGATATACCATCCCATCCATGTGACCAACCAGAAGATCAATGTAAGAGTAGAAAGTATAAACATAAAATAGACAAGGGAAAGATAATAATTTGTCCCTACTGCAAGAAACACCATGGAGCTTTTCAGATGTGTGATGCTAGCCCATTATATGGGGCCTATTTAAAGGAACATAGGAACAGAAAGCGGAATGATAAGAATAGTAATACTCCTGAAAATAATACTGACGATTCTATCTGTGTATACTGTGATTTACTGCACAATGAAACCAAGATGTGTGATAA